AAACATTCTTACCACAAAAAAGAAAAAACAAACTTTACAAAATGTTATATATGGCTTTGAAGCAGACTGTTGTGAACACAGTAATGTATTTTTGGGCTCCATATGAGGTGGGGAATTTCTTGGCCAGTTGAATGAATATTAGTTTTTCGAGGACTCTGCTCCATGGAGTTGCCTGTTTCCTTATCCCCAGTCTCGGGGGAGAAGAAATTTTCTCATGAGCTTTTGACCAGTGTATGGGACCGGTGCCAACCCAGCATCATGAGGAAATTGGGGAGCTACAATGAGTAGCATAATCCGGTCATGAAAGCTAGCAGTGGCTGGGGGTTCGTCGTGCTGACCACACATCACCCTATATCTGGTTGGATGATTGTTCACCTCTGCTTAGGCATGTGAACGTGAGGCCAGCAGTCAAACTAGTCGGCTTTGGCTCTCTGGAGCTGTTACGCCACAGATTTAATTTTAGTACCATCGTATGGTCAGTAATATAAATGTCAAAAATGTCATTTAACAATAAATTATATTACTTTAAATTTAATGGGCATTAGAAAGCCATATTTTATTTGGACAGTTTTTATCACAGTTTGCCTTCATGTGCAGTACAGGTATAATATTGATGAAAGACTCTCGGGTTACAAGCTGCGTCAGGTGGCTGAATGGTGAATAAACCATATCTTCTGCCTACGTTATTCACCATTCAGCCACCTGACGTGGCTTGTAGCCTGAGAGTCTTTCATCACCTTCAGTCGCCGCGAAAGCTTCACTTTTATACACAGGTTGAATATGTTTCTTTGACTCCACTATGGCTTCTGAGTCATTTTCATACATTGATATGGAGGAAGTATCACTACAAAAATTTTAATTGATTTTGCTTTAATTTCATTTTATAAATACTGGATCTGAGCTTGTCCATACAGCTGTGAATTACAAAAGCAGTCAGATAATCACCAAAGTTCAGTCTGAGCTACTGAAAAAGTGTCATTAAATACACTATAAATATATATAACATCACAATTCAGCCTTGTTTTCTTTAAGTACTCTTAGTTGGTTTACTTAGGTAGAAATTATCATCACCACTTGTTACTAAGCCAAACTAGTCTGCCTCTAATCTGTCAAACTTCTCTTACTGGGTCTGCCTATAACATGACTTTTAAAGCAATTGTTTTGACATACCAAATAAGTAGAAAATATACGGCCATCCCACATATTCAGCTAACATCCCTGACAGTGGAAGAGAGATGACAGTTCCAAAGTAACTTCCTGAGAAAGCTATAGTGGCAAGGCGACTTCTCTCTAGGGGTGGAGCCCAGTGACTCCACACAGCATGTATAGATGGATAGGTTACTCCCTGGAAACAAATTTTGTCTGCAACACTTTCTAATCGCATGAATAAAATATCTTAAAGGAATTAATTTTGGCCCTTAAAAAAGTGGCTGATTTGTTCTGAAATAATCTCATTAAATTTTATTATGAAATTCTAGTATTACATTCATCAGCATTTATCATTGTACCATAAATTTTTTTCCTGGGTCCAAATTCAGGACTTCATGTAGTCCAAACTGCCTAATAGGGACCAAAATTAAACTGCATCAGTACACTGTAATGAAACCTATTGGAATTAAGTACAATGAATTCGTTTTGGTCAGACTGGAGTTCATGTGTCCCGATAAATGGTTACAGTTAGCACCCCTCTTTAAATTTTAAACTCAAATCAAAGACAACAGAATTTTAAATATGCACATACCTACTGTTTACTATTGAAATATATTTTTGTTTTGTTTTTAAACTATCAGATTACTTACTTTGCAAGTGAAAGTAACTATTTCTTTATACTCTTAAATATGCCCTATGTGAAGATTGTTACTCTTTTTTATCGTATATTCAATAACTTAAGTTACACTATACATTTTAATTACTGTATGGTGTATCTCTTACATACCTCAAACAAACCCTCAACCACTCGTCCTAGAACCAGGAGATACAGATTTGTAGAGGCAAGAGCTGGTGTTAGAAGAGATACAAGTGCAGTCACACCTACACCAATTCCAAACAGTTTCTTTCCACCAATTTGAGTAGCATACCATCCTCCTGGTATCTGTGTCACAATATACCCAAAGAAGAAAGAACTCAGAACAAGTCCTTGCACCTCTGAACTCCATGGATAATCTTGTTTCTGCAAAGGAACACCATCTTACATGTACGTCTTCAGATATTACATTGCTTTAAGCTTAGCCAAGTACAATGATATGAAAGGAAATAGATACATAAAATGTACTTACAAATTGTTCTGTTCCATTTTCAGTGTATGAATAATTGCTTGTCATCGCAACTATAGCAACACTCAGATTTACTCTCAGGGAATAGACGTTGCAGAAACCTAAGAATGCCATAATCGCAACCACATACCGCCGCGGAATTGAAAAGTGCCATTTTGAACTGTGGAGAAAATAACCTCATTTTTAATATTGATATGCATCCTTCTTAAAAGATGTATATAAACAAATGAGAAATTTCTACCGAAGGCTGTGGCTAGATTCTGTGACCATTTACTCATATGAGAGAGAACTATGATTTCTATTATACAGAAATCGTCAAAATTGTTACTAGCAATTAAGACACTTGTGCCATCAGCAATTATTATGGGTTTTGATAAGTTATTTATTGTTGGAGGAAGGTAATTTATGTATACAGTGGATTCCACTTAATTAGGACGCATTGGGACTTGAACACTTTGGCCCAATTATGCGAAGTTCCACGTAAAAAATTAAAATGGTTTGTTCTTCAAGATTTGTCCCAAATAAATGGTTGCCCCGATTAACCGATGGCCCAATTAACTGGAATCTACTGTATTATGAAAAGTAAAGGTCCTAGAATTGACCCCTTCCTGTTTTATTGTTCCCCAGTTTGAGAAAAATTCTGAATGTCATTAGGAGATTTTATTTTAATCTTGTATTCTTGTTTGATAGGATCTGAACCATTTTGCAGCTGTTGCTTGGATGCTACAAAAATGTAATTCAGTTTAAAAATTTTTATAACTTGCACATTCAAAAGCTTTTGCTAAATCACATAATATTCTTCCAGCATGCATTTTCTGGTTAAAAGATTTTAACACAATGTCTGTTAGTTTGAATGCTGTGTCTTCAGTCAATATACCTTTCTAGAAACCAAATTATTCTGGGGCCAATATGTTTTCAGTATGCATATGATGGTTTAACCTATTGTAAATAACCTCATGTGTTTTAGAAAAAGTAGTTAATACTGAAATTGTTTGGTAGGCATGAAGAAACATATTTCTTAAATTGTAGTGGTAATATTTTTGTATGTTTTCTATCATCAAGGCCATGCTATTTTATGTCATATAATACTGCAAATAGTGAGATAATATTTGCATTACCTTGTTCCTTCTGGAATTTCAGGTAAATCCTGGTTGAAAGAGAGTTGTGATTTTATAGCTGTTTTCTCTGTTGGACTTCTAGAGGGCCCTGAAAGCTCCATAGATCTTCTTACTGAAGAAGCAGCTTTAGTGATTACAGTGTACAATATATATGCCTGTAACAATGATTATAGATACACAGTATAATTATAAAAATGTCTGAAATAGTAATGTATTGTGTAATGTAAGTCATTAATTTTGATCGGTAAAATAACCATCACTTTTCTAGTGCAGGTGATGATGCATGTTTTATCACTGCACATTCCCTCTGCTTCTTAAATAGCAGAATTTTCATCTACATACGTAAATAAAAGAAAAAAATAGCCTCTTCAAATTTTTGAGTGTTTATAGTTATTGTGACTGAGGAAAGTTACACAAAGAAGCATGTAATCCGGAGAGCCAGTTAAGCATCGGTCAGAGAGGCATCTGCTATATTTATTAACTTAAATGCACATGTTGATCTTTGTAATGTGTATTAACATCTCGTGATTTATACAATACTCCATAATCTTATACTCTTAAAAATCTTGTTTCAGATACTTTATTTTAAACAGCTGCTATCTGGTTTTTAAATTTTCTTTCAATACATGATACCTAATATTATTAAGTGTTTCCTCACTTTTTTCATGAAATGTTAATTACAAGGGTATTTCCTCATTTGTTTTTAACATACTTCCTGACACTTATATTATCCAGAACATTCATATATATATATAAACACACACACACACACACACAGTGAATTATCTAGACAGTGCAGTCATGAAGTGAACTTATGCATTATGGGTCAGACACATTTTACAGTAGAAGAATCTTATTCCTCCACTGACTGCTCTCACAGATTCAATGTTTTCTATCCTATTTTGAAACCTAATGCCCTACATATTTGTGTCCTAATACCAAAGCAATGTCATGGATACAGTGCAAGGACAAAAGGCTACTCCACAACTATGATTGGCCACTGTCAGCACTGGTCTTCTTATAGTAACACCATTTGGACTTGTAGATAAAAATCAGCTCTGAAGATGAAAGCAGTTTGTTTATCCAAAACATTGGTATTTGCCTACAAGTCCACATTGTGTTACTACCCAGAAGACGAACATCCAAATTTTCATCACTGTGAAAACCTCAAATCTCATTTAGCCCTTTGGTTATTCAGATGTAGTTGGATAACGTAGAATTCAACCTTACAGAACCAGAATGGATGTTTCAATGCATAATCATAAGACATCATTTCTACAGCATGTCACAAACAGCAAGTACATGAGCATCACTTGGACTAAAGCACATCAAAAGAGCCTCAGATAAGCTATTTCATAATTCTTCACTTACTGTAAGATGTGTTGCTGAAACTCAGATACATTTTGCTTGTTTAACATGATCCCTTTGCTTGCATCCCAGCAATGTGTCCCATATGGTTGTGTGACACCTGTTGTTGGCATTGTCTCCCCACACCTCACTCTGCTAGGTCTTGCCTGGCAGTAGTCAATACTTCAGAGACTTTTACACCAACCTCAACAAATGAAAATTCCTAAATAGACCCCAAAGTCAGACATATGTATAGGATGTATGTGAAATACTGTCAGGAAATTTCATATTTGTAAATTAATACATGGCTACTGTTATATTCACTTGAAACAGTTGTGATGAAAAATCAGGGGTATCCATCAGATAACTTACATGAAGAAAAATCGTACTAAAATATGTTACATTTCAGCTTTACTTGTAGAATAAATGAGGTTTGGCATTGTATAAAGTATAATTTTTTTGACTGGGTCATGAAAAGTTAAATTAAATATTTTTATGTGGCATTGTCTTCAGTGTCAAGGATTCTGACTTGACTCTGGGCTCAAAGTTTTCATATTTATACAATTTCGGCTTTCAGTCCATCTCTTTACTGGTGTTTTAAAATGCCTTATCCTATTAGGGTTGCATATTATTTCTTGTACATATCTTTAATCTTCCATTCTTTATGTGTGATCAGTTCATTTGTGCTTTACATCTTTTATTTTCTTACTCAGGTCAAATTGTGTACTTTTTCTTCCGGATGTTTGTTTTGTCTACCAACATGAAACATACATATTAAAATACCTGTATAAGTTGAAACAAAGGTAGGTTTAAAAATGTAAGTGCGTCTGTAAGTTGGTTAAGTATTCTGAATTCACATATTTTTTTTCTCATCTTCCCCATTCATATTACATGGCCTACTTGTTATACCCTAATGATAAGGTAAACATTATGACACTCATAATCTTCTCAATTATTATGATATGGAATCTTTCTTATTTACAAATTTTTCCCAGTACCTTGCTCTGAAATACCCCCACGTCTGTGTTCTTCCATCTGAATGCTAGACAAAGATTCACATTAACACAAGTCAAATTTCTTTGTATTTAGTAAACTTAAAAGGACTGCATACTCATAAAAAAGAAAGGAGTTTGTGTTTTGTATTAAAATGTTCTGTAAATTGCTTTTCTAATACCAGCTTGTCAAAATTAAATTCAGATTCTCTGGTGGCTGATCTATATATGGGCCTACAACATAATAAACTGGGTTGAGAAGTGAATTTTTGTGCTGAAAAGACACATTTGAAGTACTAGAAAGGTAAAAATGTGATATATTCCATTAACACAACTCTGAAAACTTACAAACCGTATCACCCAACTTGGACATCATTTTGATCTGGGTGATATGTATTGGTCTAAGAGAGAGAACTTACGGGAAGTAGAAGAAAGTAGTTTAATGAGGAGCTCATAATTTGTATTCTGAATATTATTAGGATGATCCTGAAGGAGCTGAAATAGGCAGGCTTGTAGCATATAATGGATAGATGGGAAATACATACAAAATTATAATAGGATGATATGAAGAGAAGTGACCACTTTGAAGACGATATAGATGAGGGACGATATTAATATGCTTCTTAAAGAAACTGTGGTTGTTGACTGGATTAATTTTTCTTGGATGTGCACCAGTGACTGGCTTTAGCAATCTTGGTAATGGACCTTCTGGTTTCATAAATGGCAGGGAGTTTCTTGACCATGTCATGGTCCGTTAGCTTCTAAAAATTGCTCTATCCCAGTGAGTTGGTTCTTAATTTAACATTTGATAATATCCACATATTTAATTACAAAGAATTCATGTACACTAGTAATTTTTTGAAGTGTTGTGCGGCAGAAAGTGTAAAATATAAATATTCTTACTTTGAACAGCTATTCTGGGACTGTGTAAAATGATCTAAATACGTAGGCAATTGAAAATGTGAAATTTACAGTAGTGTTTAATGTGAGTTAAAATGTGTTTTGGAAATGAAAATAAACATATCTATTTGTGTATGGTACCATATACTATTAAATTAATAGTGACAATGTTGGGATAATAAGCTTATGTTGGCAACACTCGTAGTAGAATATAGTCGATATATCGTATGAATACAATGTCCAAACTGTTAATTCTTTTTGAAGCTGATACAACCCTTTAAAAGACAACAGGCAGTGGAACGACGCGTTAGACAATTAACTATTTGTGTCAAATGAATATAACTCCGGGAGAAGTTTCGCATAACATCCAATTCTTATTTTAACACACGAAGAAATGACGATGCTTCCGCACACCGATAATACTGTAGCACATGGTTATTACGTCATGACAGAGGCGCATGCGCACAGCAGCTCCGGATTCAAAATAGCAGACGACGTTCTATTCATGTACTGTCTTCAATTTTAGACCGCGGGAGTTGTGTTTCGTCGCTCTAGTAGTTAACTTCGATTTCGATACTAGAAAAAATTGATTGCATAAGTTGCTGATATATAATTAGTGTTTGAATTCTATTTAAAGTATGGCGCAATTAATTAGCGTTAAATTATCTCGATTCGACGCTTCTCCGTGGGGGTTTCGTCTGCAAGGAGGCAAGGATTTCGGAGCTCCCTTGCTTATACAGAAGGTAAGGCCTAGATTCGTCATGTATTATTATTGTACCAGCCTGTCTCAGTTGTTATTTTTAACACCCTACGATCGAATTCTGATGTGCGGCGATGTATTGCTGCACGATCAAATATTTCCGTGCCCCATTGTACTGTTGTCACTGTTCCATACAGACAGTTTCTACTAAGAACTAAATTACGTTCACTCCGATACAAGCCGAGTACCGGGTCAGAGATGAAGCCACAAATTTATGACCGAGGTCTGCTTGGGCAGGCAATCACACGCATTTTTATTTATTTTAAAGTACTGTTACACATGAGTCAAGATTAGAATAAATAGGAGCGTTTCGGTGTTATTTAAAAAGATATTAGCTTAGCCTCCGTTTGTCAGCTTTTTATTTTAATGGATCTTGAGAACTTTTCAGTAAAAAATACAGGGAAAGAACCGTAATTTTGTAAATTTTTGATTAATCAAATGAGTCTAAAATGGAATCACAGGGGGCCTAACTATTTTTTTCATTTTCCCTTTTATCAAAAACTCGATTTAAAAATGTTGCACAGTAGGCATTCTGTTCTGTGTGCGTACTTATGATTTAAATTCGTGCTTTATGTGGGCAGTACCGTGTTACAAAATGGAAAATATTCTAAATTTTCTTTCGTTTCTAAATTTTTCTGTGGTACTTTTTTTTCTAACACCAGTAAAATTTTTTACATTAATTCTGAGATAATTTCCATGAATGAAATGCAGGGCCAATAGTTTTACTTTTTTCCCCATTGAACTACTTTTGACTAATTAACTGAACGTTGCTTTTTGTGCTCTATTCTTGAGAACAGAGAATTCGTGCTATAAATACACAGTTCCATTTTACGCTCGTTTCACTGTACTTGAAGTGCTTATTTAATTTACGCAGTTTTCAAAGGAACACACCAACGCTAAAAATAACAACAGTACCGTAGCAATTATTAATTAGTACGTGTATCAAACTGGAAACAGCACGAAGTTAGGTAGGATGGTTAATTTTAACTACTAGGGCAGAACGCTCCTTTCGGAGCTCCTCGGAGGGGTTGGTCAAGTTTTTAAAAAGCAACGAACCCTTTCGGGGGGGGGGGGGGTGCGGT